GAGTCCTTCAGGATGACCTTAGGTCTTGATAGGAGTTGCCCGTTGCCAGGAATCTTAAAGTAACTACCAATATTTGTTAGGACTGACACTTTGTCTAAGAACCGTATCTTCTTTTTGAATGTATGGAGTAACTCATTGGTCTAGTGGTTAGTACCCCTGACTGCGAATCCATGGGTCCCGGGTTCGATCCCCGGCTGAGACGAACATCGATGTGATGAGCATTTGGTGTTGTGCTTAGGTCTTGGGTGTTTAAATATGTATTTATATCTATATATCTATAATAATATGTATGTATATCCGTTGCCTATTACCCATAACACAAGCTTCACCAGCTTAGCATGGGACTAGGTCAATTGGTGTGAATTGTCTAAAAAAAAAAAAAAAAAACTAATTTCAATAGACATTCAAACTCGGTAACTCCTACTCTAAGGTAGTTTCTTAAGTCACATGGTTCCAAAACACTCAGTATTTGCATATTTGATAATAATTTTTCTCGCAAATGTAAATACTCTTTCACCCATATGTTTCTTTTCTTTATTTAAATTAATAGACGCGGCAAGAGCCATGGCGATTTTCTGGTGCTTTGAAAGTTTTCCCATCGCGAGACAACCGTCACCGACAACGTACGCTTTGCAAATGAGTAAAATGAGTTAGCTTGCGATATTCAGTCCAGTGTAATAGCGAGCTTGACTAATTCGATTTTAAGACAGTCTTACTAAGACTGTCTGAATATCGCGTAGTGTAATAAGCTCTTTAGTGGTATCGTATGTATTTCGGCGAAAAACCACTGGGTAAATTATGGGTTCGTTTTTAAATAAAAACGAATCGTGTTTGAAAAGTATTAGAAAGCATTTGGATTATATAGGATTAGGAGTAAGGGTAAAGGTAAGCCTACGTGTAAGCGTGAGCGTAGGCGTAAGCGTAGGCGTAAGCGTAGGCGTAAGCGTAGGCGTAAGCGTAGGCGTAAGCGTAGGCGTAAGCGTAGGCGTAAGCGTAGGCGTAAGCGTAGGCGTAAGCGTAGGCGTAAGCGTAGGCGTAAGCGTAGGCGTAAGCGTAGGCGTAAGCGTAGGCGTAAGCGTAGGCGTAAGCGTAGGCGTAAGCGTAGGCGTAAGCGTAGGCGTAAGCGTAGGCGTAAGCGTAGGCGTAAGCGTAGGCGTAAGCGTAGGCGTAAGCGTAGGCTTATAATTTATGATAACTGAGTAAAGACAAGACTAACCAAAAATACCGCAGTTAATTACCATTCGAATTTGAAATTATTTATTTATTTACACTCCGTGACCGGAAACATGCATATAAAATAACAAGTTACATAAGATGTTATGCAACGGGCGGCCTTATCGCTAACAAGCTATTTCGTCCAGCCCCAGGCAACCCCAAATGAAAAAAAAATACCTACTGAGGTAAAGTAGAAATAGTAGTAATAAATAATTAGCAAAAAAACATAAAATTTCCTGTAACGCTAGAAATGTACTACTTATAAATCTAAAAATTCAAATAATAATGAAAAAGTAAAAGCTAATTTTAGGGTTAATTAATCAAAATTAATATATATAAATAGCTTATTACAAGGGAGAAGAGAAATGCTAAAAAGGAAGATTATTAAATATATTTAAATACTGATATAAAGAGGTAAGGAGTTTCAAAGCATGATGGAATTAATTTTTATGGGTAGGACTTTCAAGCTAATTCGTGATTGTCAAGGGAACGTAAATCAAAACTACCGACAAAAAGGAACACACAATTATTTTCCTTTAAGTAACTAACAGTCGAAATTAGAAATTTCACTAAGAACAAAATGTCTAAGTAAAATTTATGAATTCTGAATAGAGTGCTAGCGACTTTAGTAACTATCGATTCGGTCGCGGCACTTAAGAGAAAAACCTCAGTGAGCATAAAGTTTTGACCAGTAAAATACCTACATTCACACAAAAAATTTAAGAGTGGATTATCTTTGACCTCTGTTCTAACATTTCTTTATATTATAATTACGTATATACTCTAACAGACTGAAAATAAAAATACACACAATTTACAATTAAAAGTGCATTGAACATATTTGTCGGAGTAATGGTATAAGGTACTGTCAGCTGCCATTGTCATTATATGTCACAGAGCACATGAATTAACAACGTCAAAGTCAGTTTAAAACCGTTAACACTTACTACTACTAACTAGAAATAACATTAAGTTTACCAAACTGTCAAATGTATACTTTCAGATGAATTATTTTATTGTGTATTTATAAAGCATAAATGTAAAATAAATAAAAAATGTAAAACAAAGGTAATTTGCACTGTGGCAACCTCAAATACCACGGTAAATCTCGTCTCTGAATCATACCCTTAGGCCTAAGCGCTTAGTATGACTCCTTAATTATGTAATATACACTCCGGACTACTGGGAGGTGCTCAGGTAGAAATAAATATATATACATAATCAGCTCCTATAAATCGTGTATGGCCTTAAATTTAGTTATTGGTCAAATCAAATAGACACAATACATTAATAGCATACGAGACTACACGCTAAGAGACACAGAAGAACTCGTCCATGTAGCACCTTTCCTTTAAAACCCTAATCATTTAATCAAGTTCCATATAAAAGGTTCCTCAAATCTGTAAGTACTGGAATGCATTATGAACCTTAGGGGCCATAAAGTAGAATCTTTTTGTATACAGTGGGGTGTTTTACGCCCATAATATGTTTGTTAGGTAAGTATTAGTCATAAACTTGAGATAATGAACCCGGCAACTGTTAATCTACAAGGATGCTATAAATGCGAATGAAAAGTATTTTTTTTTTATATTAATCATACAATCAGTCTTTGCGACTATAAGTAGATATGTTGAGTGCTTCTTGACGTGTTAGGCGCTACTCCCAGCGGAGCCTGCCTATTCTTATTTAAACTCAGTCTGTTGGGTTGTCCTGGTCAAAAATGTCTCGCCGCTTTTTTAGTCGTCGAGTAGTTTCTGGTATAGTTAGCTGTCCTGCTAGCTGATTGGGGTGCTTTTGAAGTCTTAGTTATACCCATGTGTGATTATTTCCTTTTTACCATGGGCATATTAAAAAATTCATGGACTTCTGTTGTTTTGAGAAACCATGGGGTGTTTGATATTTGCTTGAGTATGTAATTTTGAGCTCTTTGTATTATTATTATATTTGAGGCACTAGCAGATCCCCAGAGCTGTATTCCATAAGTCCATATGGGTTTGAGAATGGTTTACTATAAAAGCAACTTATAGTCAATGGATAGTTTTGAATTTCGTCCCATTAGCCAGTAGATACCCTTGTATTTGTGGTTAATTTCGTCTCGCTTTGTTTGAATATGTTTTTTCCAGGTCAGTCTGTCTAAATGCATTCCTAAATATTTGACTGTATTTTGATGCGGTAATTGGGTGCCATTTAGCGTGACAGGGGGGCAGTCTTCCTTTCGGAGCGTGAAAGTGATGTGCACCGATTTGGACACACTAACTGCAATTCTCCATTTGGCCAACCAGTCTTCTACCTTATTTAAGCCATTTTGTAGGATTTTAGAGGCCACAATGGGACTTCTGTTGGAGGTAAGTAGGGCCGCGTCATCAGCTAAGGTGGCGATAGTAATCTCTGTGCTCTGTGGGAGGTCGTGTGTAAAGTATGTAAATTAATTTAATTTATGGATCTCTGAAACTTGGTGTTAATCCAAATGGTGTTTGTTTAAGGATTCAGTTACAGATATTCAACAAGCGTTAAATTGATCCCGGAATACTGTCAATTTCACGGATCTTGGTTTATTTAATCATATACCATGAACACTACACAATAGGCGTATTAATCTAAATAGGCTATCAATAATCTATGTTAGTCTGGCTTACCGTAATATAGTCTGAATATTATAGTCTAGACTGATTTTCGTCTTCATTCTGCAATCCATTTGTGCCAAACTAATCTTGTTCTAAAGTAATTGATGTGTAAATAAACCTTTTTTATCGAATATAAAATGATTACATTACTTTCATAATGAAGTTTCGAGCGCCTTTCATTTCATTTGACAGATTTTCTAAAACTATTTCTGATTATTTATTTGTAAAAAATAATAATTTTAAGGAACCCGCCAAAACGCTTTCCTAGGAAAAATGGCGTCGCACCAGTCCTTACAACGCTTGTAAACACATTCTTAAATTACACAAATACACATATTATATTTCGCTCAATAACAGTCTTCGACGAAATGAAATTTCAAAATTAGTATTAGAATTATCAGTGGAAGACTGTGACCGTTTTGTGTCACATGACTGACGTATATATACGTAATTATACATTACTAGTGGACCCCACAGACGTTGTCCTGCATGATATTTAAAGCGATTAGGATATTAAGCAAAGTATGATAGTACCGACTGCAGTGCCATCTGCCGGGCTGATTTGTGAATCTAAACCATTCCCAGATCCCCTTGAACACACACAAAAAATTTCATCAAAATCGGTCCAGTCGTTTAGGAGGAGTTCAGTCACATACACACGCACACAAGAAATATATATATTAAGATATAAAGATTATAGTTATGTTGAGGTAAAAGTACGCTACGCTGCTTCGCAGTTCGCGTGGCAGCCTTGCGGGCTTATACTTAGGCCATTGAAACTGCGACAACTTAACTTGTGGAGTTAATAATCTGCAATAAATCCTCAATTTCAATATTCAATTTTATTTTTATTATTTCATAATATTAATATTTCATTTTTACAAATATTATTTTATTCAATTCAATTGAGGTTATAAGTGCGCTTTGTTGCTTAACATTTCGCGTGCCAGCGCCACAAGCGCATACTTAGCCATATCAAAATTGAGACAATAACAAATTTTCAAATTCGTAATTGAAACACTTATGCCATGTAAGAGAGCGAACATTCCGTAAAATTGCGCAATCAGCAAAACCATATTTCCGCAATAGAAATACGCCTAAGCGCTTTTGATAGGATACCGAGGTAAAAAGGATTGCAACATCAACTACTCACTTCCCACAATGACATTTGGTCGAACACCACCCACCTTAGTATCACCACTTTCGAGGACAGTAGGGTTCGATCTGGTGATGGAAAGACCCTTACACTATTACCATCAGAATCTTGGGAATCGGGAAGAATTTGGGAAGTCCATGGGACCAATTCGACTTCCCAGGGGTTTCAGTATTTCCCCGGTGGTTTTGCGCCACGATACACACGATGGTGCTCACTCTCCTCCACTACACCGGGAACCTAGAAAACTGGCCCACTCACTCGACACTCAGTAATGTAGCTTTATAATAGGAGGGACCGTAACTCGACTGTCTCTGACTAGTTATAGACTTCTACGGGGATTACTTATTTTAATGTATAGCTGTGATTAAGATTTTATTGTATCCTATAAATTCATAACATAACTGTCAAAAGTAACAAATTTAATAATTTCAATTAATTTGTGAATTAATAATGTTGGCAAATAAACTCAATGAGAGACGGAAATTTCAAATATTTATCTCCAAAGAGGAAGAGAGGGTAATTTCTTGTCGATCTTTCTATTGTTCCTGGAGATAATATTCAACACAATGGAATTGACAGTAAATTTATACTGAGATCGTATAAACTTAAATATTAGGTCAGAATCAAAAGCACAATTTTCCATAAAATTTACATTTATTTTTTATTGAATATGATTGTAGATGGTAGGATAGAACATTTATCATCATGACAAATCTTTGTTTTTAATTTATTTTATTATTATTAATTACTTAAGATGTCATGTGGAACATGGTGTAATGGTTGCAGCTCCTTACAAACATTGTGTAAAACAAAAAATCTGGCGATTAAAAAGAGTTTCGGAGTGTTTATTGTTAGTTCCTCTCTTCCGTTCTACGCCCTTGATTTGAGAACTGGCAGTTAATGTAAAATTAGAAGCATTTAATGTATATTTCTTTTTTGACGTTCATAAGTGTACATAGTGTTACCTATATGAATAAATGATTTTTGACTTTGACTTTGAGTCCCCGTCGTATGATTTAATATATATTAGGTACATTTTTTTTTATTTTTATTTATGGCTCTGGCACGATTTGTGCATTAGCCAGCGTCAAGTATAGGATTTTTTATAATTCGTGCTTGTCTTTAGAAATTCGACCGTGTCCTTCATGTACGGTTTAGGCACTCGCCCGGTACCGCACAACCCTCCCAAAGGCCGAGAACAAATTTAAATTAAATTAAAACTTGCCCTCGAACCGGGAATCGAACCCGGTACCCCTCACCTAGCTGCCACTTAATAAGACCGCTAGGCTATGAGGCCCCCTTAGGTACATTTTTGACGTTCATAAGTGTACATTGTGTTACCTACATTAAAAAATAATTTTGACTTGACTATGCTCTACTAGTTAAATTTGTAACGTATTCGACATATTAGACAATTTATTATTTGGTTACATATGCATCTTCTACCGCATTTACCATGGAAGTCTTCAGAGGAGATGTTCGGACTAATATCTGCAGCTGAGTATCATCATCGGACGTCGAGGCAGAATAAAAAATACCATCCGTATCACCACGATGTTTTTTGAGGTAAGTACAATGAAGTAGTCAATTTTATGAGCTCTTTATGAATTTAAAACACTTTTTTACTAACAAACAATAACGTTAATTATTATTTAATTAACCTGTTCTGCTTTTTCATTAAAGAATCCAGTGGCGTTACAACCGCTGGTCTTGGCCAGTTTTCGTTATCTGATAATTTGTAATAGGCAAGGTGATCAGCCTATGCTTGATACACGCCATTGACTTTGGGTCTAAAGCATACCGGTTTCCTCATGATGTTTTCCGTCACCGCATTCGCGAGTTTCTTAATACGCAGAATGAAAAGTCCATTGGTGCACAGCCGGGGTTCGAGATCGCACGCTAAAGCCATTAAGCCAACACTGCTTTCACAAGATCTTCGTTTCAACAGACCAATGATCTCGTGACTCAGCGGCTTCACCACTAAAACCACTCGCTGGGTTATCACTACATGTATTATAAAACCTTCAAGAAAATAGCGTACCAATTCTTAAAAAGCTGGCAACGCACTCGCGAGTCCTCTGGCATTGGGAGTGTCCTTGGGCAGCTTATTACTTAACATTAAATAAGCCTCCTGCCCGTTTGCCCCCTGTCCTATAAATAACAAAACTTATTTCTAATGAAAATTTCCGTCATGTAGTATTGAAACAACGTAACAAATGAGCGGAAGTCACTATTACTAATTTAAAACCTGATCTTGACTATCAATTAACCTGTCCCGAACTTGACAGGTAATAACAAAGTTCATGGTAGGCCCTGCGTAATAATACACGTTACGTAGTATACAATAAATAACCAAAAACTAACACAAATTTAACAATAAATCGAAATATAAGAAAAATGAGTAAATAATGCTTTTGTTTAAGTACGCATTATTGACAATAGTAAAGTCAGATCAGCCCGAGTATTAGAAAATATGGATAAACGCTACATAACACTATATGCACGAAAACAAAACCTTCTACAGAGATGAAAAGAGGAAAAGAAAACAAGAAATGACGCGCACCATGTGGAACAAGCTGCATACTGAAGTATTTCCAAACCAATTCGAATTAGGGTTCTTTAAGAAAAGAGCGTATCAATTCTTAAGAGGCCGGCAATTCACTCTGGCATTGAGTGTCCATGGCCAGCTGTATCATTTAACATCAGGTGAGCCTGTTTGCTCCCTGCTCTATATAAAAACAAAAAATCAGATAGAACGTATTATTCATTAAAATAGGATATAAATAATCATTAAAATTAATGTAAGTAATAATAATATAGACTATATTAAGTAACAAAATAATGTGAAAAGCAAGGCTTTATTATTATTTTGTATCCGAACCAACGTTCAAACGGCGATATGTTGATAAGGAGTTAGGATATTGGTTGCTGAAACTTGATAAAGTCGTTCTTGTCTAATGGCAACAGCTCCCTCAATGCGATTTCGCCGCCAGTGATAAAGCAGGACGTGTTGATATCAGTCATTCTATTAATTATTGTTTCGTCCGAGGGGGGTTACGAAACCGCCCATTTTATAGCATAATTTAAAATTTTTTGACGATTGCTTTTTATATAAAAAGCAACAGCTTTTGTCGAACACAGAATTTAATTGACCAAAAGCTTAAAGAAGAACAAACTTTTATCGCTCTTGCCCACTGAAATTGGCTTACAGGCGAATATTGTTTTGGGATAAATGTTAGCCGTTGTAAAAGATTTATGGTGCTTAAGTAGTTTATCTGGCTATTTGGAGACAGCTTGTTATAAATAATAATATTAATCTATATTTATCGAAGATCGCATGTTTGCAACAATATTATTTTACCTGTTAATCATCGGATGGGTATACCAACTTTTCGTAAGACGTCTCACAACTATATGTCTTTAACATATAACATTGCAGGTTGTAGTACCTTTCGCGAAGTAATTGGTCTTGTCAAGAAAACAGCGTACAAATTCTTAAAAGACCGCTTACGTCAGCCATTCGCTATTGTGACTATGGCTGATATTACTTAACATTAACGTTACTTCCCTTCGCATTAACATCAACGATGGTCGCGAAGTGCGGACTGCAGACAGTCCAAATTGGCTCTGCCAGCAGTTAACCCGCAATTTCTAAACCTAAACAGAACTAATCTCAAAACAATGATAGGGACAATTACGGGCCATTGTTTCATTGATAAACATTTTTTTGTCCTAGCCGCGACAGAAAGCCCCATGTACAGAGGCTGTTTCAGCGCAGAGGAATCAGTCACCCGCGTAGTCCTGGAATGCGAGGCTGTGACTAATCAAAGTGCAGAAATCCTCGGAACAGTGAGGTCGCTCCCTGCCTGCGAAGTGCCCAGGCTTCTGTGCGCTCGGAAGGAGTTAGGCTGACTTAGTTAGCCAGGACTTTACGCACAAAGGACCTATTGAGAGTCTAAGTGCGGAAACTGAGTCCACAAACCATAACCATAACCGTTACTTCGCTTTTATTATAATTGTAAGTCTATGCTTAGTAATTTAATCCTATGATTAGATGCAGCTTTTATGAGTGATTTGTATAAAGCCGTAAAAGCTTTATAACTATTAGATTTTTGTAGTATTGCAAGTATTATCTCGTTTTAACAAAATGTCGCTACGCTATAAAAGTTATGTATTACACTGCAATGTTGTTGAAACATTTTTTTATTCAGTATTTTTTGTTTATCAAAGCGTAGTTCTAACTTCGACATGAATACTGAATAGATTTTTCTTTCTATACGCACACTATTGTACGATGAAAGGATGTTTCTTTTACGTACAAGTTTCAGAGGTGAGTGTTCCTATTGGAGTTGACATAATCCATGCTTAGCGCTAAGTATCGATTATGACGCCTGGAAGAAATCGCTTGTTAGCGATAAGGCCGCCCGTTGCCTTATAATTTTTGTAACCTGCATTTTTATTTTTGTTATGTGTATGTTTGTGAATAAGGTAATAAAGCATAAATAAATATGACGTGTGTCATACACTGAATGCTGACATTGCATGTAAAGAAAAATTCTCAATAAATTGAAATTTAATCATTTTGATAATAGGATTATCTAATGAAATGGATGTAAGCATCTATACTTTGATTTTTAATTCGGTAGAATTCTGACAGCTATAATTTTTGGTAATTTTTGGCCGGGCACATTTTTCAATTTCAATACGAGTCTGAACATCTGAGTCTATACATACATTTTATTTGTTAGTGAATGTATCCATTTTATGAAGTGCGGTGCTCCACATCTAAAGTGGTTTTACGGCGACTGATAATAACGTCCCTTTTCATCACAAACAGTAAAAAACGCACAAGTAAAGATAACATTTTTTTAAAAGGTTTACTAAACCTGGAATTAGTAGGCAGCGATGCCAGCTAAAGAATAAAATAAAGTAATTTAAGTAAATTCGATTTCTTGTTCGTGATATTGAAATATTTGTAATTAGATTACTTGAGTAAGTAAATATTTAGATTTACCTTTTTGTAGGTAAAACATAGAAATACGTACATTGTAACAAATTATTTATTAAAACAGTCGCTATATCCGAACTCGCCGTATCAATTTTGTACTGAATAAAAATTATAATAACGTCGCTATTTCTAAATAGTCGCTACACCAATAAGTGAAATCCACACTATTTATGTTGCACGAGCATCGATAAAGAGTGTAAATCTATATTATGAATAGTTAAAAAAACTATTTTCGTGGCGTTGTTGACGCGAGTTTAAAGTTGT